ACACGCACACAGATGCACGCACGCACACGTACACACATGCACACGCGCACAGACACATGCACGCATGCACATGCACAGACACACTCATGCACACGTACAGACACATGCACACATGCACACGTACAGACACATGCACACGCACACAGATGCACGCACGCACACGTACACACATGCACACGCACACAGATGCACGCACGCACACGTACACACATGCACACGCACACAGACACATGCACGCACGCACACACATGCACACACAGACACATGCACGCACGCACATGCACACAGACACATGCACGCATGCACACACAGACACATGCACACACACGCACACACAGACACATGCACGCACACACACACACATGCACGTCCCATTTGTTTTGTTTTGGACACTGGAACAGCCTATTCATGCATGTTTAAAGCAAAAGCAGAGGTCACAAGTTTGTGGAATCCACGTAATATAGTTGTTAAAAGTCTGTGGGTTGTTTTTGCATAAAAAATATTTATTTCATGCTGAGACTCCTGCTTCTACAAGAATGGCACATCAAGTTGTGACGTGGAAAACAAAGCAAAAACTGAAAGCCACAGATCCACAAGGCCGCATGGAACTCCTGATCAGCTATGTTCCATCATTTCTGAAAGAATACTTAGGCCTATTCTGAGAACTTGCATGACCAATTTTATGGATTTTTCTGTGGGTTGTTTTTATCCCTGGAGGCGAAGGCCTGTTCAATGAAGTCTGTCATAAACTCCAGTACACTAGCGTGTTGTGTGAGCTCTTCTGACACGACATGAGGGCGTGAGAACCTGCACCCCAGGGCTCTTGCACAGAGAAGGGTGTGTCCCAGTGGGGCGGCGCACTCTCCCCCGGCTGCTCCTGGCCCCGTGGCCTGCCCGCCTCGTGCTGTCAACAGGAGCCCAAGACTGTTTTGCTGTTTGCATGGGTGTGCAAAAATGTCTGGGCTCGGGAGGCTGTGCCTTTCTAGCCATGTTCTTCTTGACAGGCATTTGGTGTCCTGTCCTTGCCCACTAATCCCTAAGACTCAGTCTTTCCCTCCCGTGTGTCCCAGACTGTCCTTCCCTTCAAATGCCTTCCACATCCACCAGCTTCCTCTGCTGCGTCCACAACTTTAAATGCTTGCTACGTGTTTCAGGAACAGACAGAAGCTTTCTGTTCTTCTCTTTTTAAAGTATTATTTTTCCATCCTGCATTATAAAAATGTATATATGCTCACTATGAAAAATTTGAAAAGAGAAAAAGAAAAAAAATTAAAATGATCTACAATTCTGCCATCCAAAGAGACTCATTGTTAATAACGAGGTCTATAGCCTTCTTGTCTTTTTTTATGCATTGAGAACACACCACTCACTGTAATGTTTTGTATCTTACATTTTTCTCTTCACAGTGTACTATAAGCAATTCACCATATCTATAGAATTTGTTCTTCAAAAACATGATTTTTCATGGCAGAATGCTATGCTGTGGTTAGGATATACCACTATTTATTTAGCCAATAGCATTACTATTAAAAGTTTAGGCCATTTCCAATTTTTGCAGTTATAAGCAATGCTGTGATGAATATTCTTCTACATAAATCTTTGTATGGATCTGTTTCCTTAGGATAATTCCGAGAAGTAGAATGGTGGAGTTAAAGGATATGACCCTTGCCTAATTCTTAAGCGTATAGAAACTTAAGACTCTTTTGTTTTTATCACGATCGATACAGTTAGAGAAAGGAAATGAGCGCCAGCCAGCCGGGAGCGTGGCCTTCACACGTGCACACGTCCAGCAGCTCCTGTGCCTCCAGGATGGCCAACAGAGGTAAGCGGGTGGCCACAGCACAGCGGCCGGGGCTAAGCGGCTAGCCGCCGTTCACCTGTACCTTTTAAGTGTGGCAAAGGCAGAGATATTGTCAAGCTCAATCAAATCTCATGATAATCATGCTTTCTGACACAGCTCACAGTTTGTTTCTCAAGTCACCCAGCAGACCATCATGGGATTAAAGCTTACAAAACCCAGGGAGCAAGAGGTGGCATTATCAGCTGAACCAGGATGCCAGTTTAACATCTCCCCGGACGTCACACACACCAGCGCCCTGGGTCAGGCTCCAAGGAGGAAGGGGCTCTGGCTTCAATCACAAGGCAGAGGCTGCCTCCGCTGGAATAGCTGGGAAGTAAGTGAGCATAAGGTACTCAGCTACCCTGCATGGATTAATCCACTTTTATCCAAGATGCCTAAGTATCCCCCGAGTAAGAGCTATGCATAGGAAGAGAGAGAGAGAGAGAGAGACAAAGTTAACTAGTAAAAGATGTGCCAATGCAGAAACTTCTAAAAACTAAACCTCATGGAACAGTTTATTTCTCTCTACTTCAAAAGTGAATCCGTCTTTGTCAGTACCTATGAGCAACATGGATTTAACATATACCCACCAACTCAGCTTACGGAGAATCAAACACGAAATGCACGTGTAACAGCTTTAGAAATCATGAGCACCTCATACATCTTAATTACTGTTAAAAATAAGATGATGAAAAACATAAACTAGGATTTTCCTTAATTGGTTTAATGTGATATTTCAAAGGAGAAGAAATAGAGGCATTATTTTCAGTCAGATAGCAATCCTCAAATTCATATGTAAATGATGATAATTTCTCAAAAATTTTTTATTTTTGATTGAAAATAAGTTATCACTTAACTTCATCTTTTTAACATCCCAAACTCTTTTCCTTCCTTTCCCCTGCCATGCATGCCTTTAAACAAATAAAATACACAAACATCTGTACTAGTCTCTACTTTTTTTCAAATAACAGAAAATATAAACCAAGTAGGAGCATCACTCCATATATAATGAAATCTGTTCCCTCTAATTATTAAAATTAGCAAAAGGCACTGGAAGTTGAAGTTCTAAAAGCCAGCAAATAAATGTTTGCAAGGGAGGTATCAGTGCCTTTAATCAAAGCATTGCTTTCTGTAATTATTATATTCCACATAAAATAACAACTGTCTTTGCCACAGTTACCCAGTCCTGTACTTAGCTGCTCTGTTATTTAGGAAATGACCAAGTCCTTTTTCAGAAGCAAAGTGGTTAATATCACGTGGTTACTTTAGTGAGAGGCTGAAGCAAAGCTGGTAAAGTGAGGATCTGCTGCATGGTCCAAGAAAGCAGTAAGTTAAGATGGAAGCAAACCACCCGCCTGCTACAGAGACCGCGAGGAACAGGCTGGAGAGCCACAGCCTCTGCAGGGCTTCCTGGAGGACGGAGACCCTGGGGCCAGGGGCATCTGTAGGTGAGGGCAGACTGAGAGCAGTTCAAGCCACCTGGAGGAAGAAGGGCTGTGCTGCCCAGAGAATGGCACGGTAGTGTCTTGTCTCCAGTCACCCTGCGCAGGCAGGAGGACTCTGGCTGCCAGCCCAGCCCACATCACACAGTGGACGTCTGTGTATTACTGTGCCACGGACCATGTGTGCTCTGCACCTAGGTGTTGGGGACTCAGTGAGGGGCAGACCCACTAGACAGCCACCGTGTGCAGGATCCTCCCAGCTCCCAGGCCCCACCCTGAACACGCACACGCAAGGGCCTGCCACCCACCGTGGTGTGTGCCCTCTGCTGGCTCCCATCGCACGGGCTGTAGTAGAACACCAGGAACGCCAGCAGGGAGGCAGGGGGCTCTGCCTCCGCCCGCAGCAACTGCTCAGCTGCCAGGTCAGCCCAGCCTCCGAAGTGAGCCACCAAGAACCAGCTGTCAAAGTGACCGCCACAGCACCTGGAAGAAGCCAAGGCACATGGCAGTGGGCTCCGCGCCTCCTCCTGCTTTTTGTTCTTAAAGTTTGTCAACAGCCGGCTTCAGCTGTACTTATCCACTGAAGGACAACCTGCAAGGAATACAAGCTAGAGGCACACAACGTCTGAATGCCACTCAGAACCCATCACAGGACATGCAAAGGGTCGCCTCAAAATCCCGGGTGCTCGGAAGACGCCAGACACTTAAGTCTTTGCATCCAGGTACCGTAAGCAAGCACGTGCTTTGACGAGGAAGATTCTGGCCCACAACCCACAGGGATGACACAGGATGAGCTGCAGACGCGGTAACCCAGGCGGCTCCAGAGCCACAGAGGGGGGAGGCTCCGCAGGTCCAGATGGAGACCAGGGGAGACTGTCGGCTCCCCTCGTGGTGAGGAAGGGGTGGGAAGTGGGACACAGGCAGAAAGGGGCTGTTCCCTTTCTGACGAGGCACAAGGGAACATGTCCAGCCACAGAGGGGGGAGGCTCCGCAGGTCCAGATGGAGACCAGGGGAGACTGTCGGCTCCCCCCGTGGTGAGGAAGGGGTGGGAAGTGGGACACAGGCAGAAAGGGGCTGTTCCCTTTCTGACGAGGCACAAGGGAACATGTCTGGTCGGCGTGTGGACAAGTGCGAGTGTTTGACGAGCTGTGGGTTGTAGTCCCTCCTGGCACTGTGCATGCGCCCATGCTGGAAGTGAAAGCTTTGCAAAGCTACCGTCTTGCCACATGAACCGGGAGTTGAGATCCTTGCTTAAAGGGTACTCTGCTCAAGGAAGGACATTTCAGTTCTGCACAGTGACAGTCTCGGTAGTTTAATATCTCCCCTGTAGAACATGGAGCAGGACTGGCCCGAGACTGAGATGAGGGGGACCTTCCTTCTGACCAGGTGAAGAGACTAGTGCTCCGGACCCTCTGCAGTGTCTTAGTGGGACCTGGCTCCACCTTCCTCTGCCTGGTGCGTGGAATTCCCGAGCTCTAAGTGCTGTCCTCGCCTCCCCAGGCATTGCTTTCTCCTGAGAACAAGTGATTTACCAGAGAGGAAAGGATGGACGGTGGGAGTGGCAGTCCTAGCTGCCCTGCCTGTCCCCAGGAGAGGGAGAGGACTCATCCAGCAGGCCAGAGCTGATGCTCGGCCCATGCTGGTGGCGGGGTTAGGACGTCTCGGCAAGGCAGGGGCTCCTGTGTGTCTGCTCCTGCCCAGGTTGGTGGCGCCTGGGTCAGGGCTCCAGGCCCAGCGTTCTCCCTGTCCCCCACCAGTGACTGTGCGTGTGGTGGTCCCTGCGGCCGACGGAGAAGTGCCTAAGCTGCTGGACACCCCTCCCTGCAGGCGGACCCCAAGGTCTAAGTTAAGGTAGGACCCCGTGAGGTTTTGGGTCTAAGTCCTGGAACAGAGACAACCAGAAAGGGAGTGTGGAGGGGGACAGGGGTGCAGGCATTACATGGCCGTGACTGAGCCCTGCGTGGCTGCTGGTGCCTTTTTCTGTCTAACGTCCAAGAGTGATCTCCCCGATGCAGGCAGGAGCGAGTGACGGGCACCCAGACCTGCCCGTACGATGGACCCAGCAGCATCAACCGTCGGGTGTGTCGGCCCCGCAACAAGAGTGCAGAGCAGTTCAAGAGGAAAAGGAAGTTCAAGAGGAACAAGTAAGGGCCGGCCCGGTGGCGCACTGGAGAGTGTGCCGCTTGAGAGTGCGGTGGCGCTCCCGCCGAGGGTTTGGATCCCATGTGGAGACCGGTTCTAGCTCACTGGTTGAGTGTGGTGCGGGCGCAACACTGAGGGTTGCGATCCCGTTGCCGGTCCCCAGTACGGGTGCAACAC